CATTACCTCCCCGGGGAGATTCTCGCGCGTTCTTTAATGAAGCGAGAATCGCGAGGGAGCGGGCCGCACCTTCGAAGTTTCGTTACGTATTCTCCCGAATCATCATTGCACGCGCGAGCGCGCGCACCGTTTTATTGTGCGCGACGCACGAATGCAGAATATGTACGGCGTTTAATTATTCGTCGGATCGCCCCTCGCAGCCCTCGTCACTCCCCGCTGCACCGTGTCTTCGCGAGGAGCGACATCTTAATTAAATGCACGTGATGGATTTCCTGTCCCGGTATCTCCTCTGACTCACGTTTTGTTTAAGCTATATCTGATATCTACGCTATAAAAAGAAAGATCAATCGAGAGAAGCGAAATGAATTCAGTTTCAGGGTTGTATATCGCGTATTCTGTATACATATAATGCAATTTTCAATAAAATTTGCCCTAATTTTTCATCCGACTTTTTCTCAATGTACAGAATTCTTCACATGAGAAATAATGCTAGATTCAAGTAAATAATTACTCCAATACTGCTTGACAAATTTTTACTTGAATCAAGTAATGTTTACTTGATCCAAGTAAAATATTTCCCAACTAATTATCCAAGTAAAATATTTACTTGATTCGTGTAAAAGTTATTTAATCCAAATAGAAATTTGCTAAGAAATATTGGGGTCATTATTTTCTTGAATCTTGCACCTTTTTTCTGTGTAAGAAAATGAGTTTTACCGTGAAGTCTTGTTGAAGAGGTATGAAGAATTTTTCGAAAAAGACAATATCTTCTCCAGGCTTATCTCGTAACGACACGTACACACCTAAATTGCTAGCCCAAATATGCGGCGATATTTCGCGGAACCAATTCCCGGCTATTAGCAACCGTCGTTCGCGGCGATTCGCTTGCGTAAACTCTGCCGGGTCGAGACTTCCTACTAGTCAAAGGCGCGTCTTTAGCGGTGCATCGCCAGCGGCATTTAGATTCTTCTTGGCTGTCTAACGAACCGCGCGAATTACTCGTGCTTACCGCGAAGCACGCACGCACGCACGCACGCACGCACGTATCATCGAAACATAGCCGAGATTGCAGCCGTAGATCCGCGCCATGCGCTCAATTCCGTTTCGCGCGATCTCTGTGAATGATAATTTATCGTGTTTCCAGCCGTCTGTTATTCCGAGCCATTGTGTCTTTATTCGCAGTTGTGTAAGGGAAGAAGCTTCGAGATTACGACTGCTAATGGCACGCACCGCCGATGTGTCGATGAAACGTCGGAGGCGGAATTTCCGGCGTTTCTTACACCGAGAGAATGACGCGTTAAGTGTAAATTAACGCCTCGCGGATTTTTGCGCTACCTTGACAATTTACTCGTAAATGCGCTGTCAAACTAAATGAAACGAATTCGTCAATCAACAATAAATTGTAGTCTAGTGGCATATATTTATACATATTAATTTGTATATTTTTATTTTTAATTCGTTACTTTGTACTTATTTTATTTTTCTTTTTCTTTATTTTGCACATAATTTAAAGAGCCGCTTCTTCAATCTTTCCTCGGAAGGAAATCAAAAAAATCCGCGGGAAAGTTGAAGAAACCATTTTTCCAAGTACAACTATACTTTTTTTAATTTTGTATATTTTTACTTATATATTTTGTTTAAATTCAACATAATTTCATTATTTTCGCCAACTGGGAGTAGGCGTATCAGTGGAACGTCAATTCAAAAAAATCACAAAGCCAAGTGGATTGGCGCTTAGAGGACGAGTGATTGAATGAAGAATTTAATTAAAGATCCACGACGAAAAATGTCCGATGGAAATGTTTTATAATACAATGCTCTATGAAATAATATGTTAACTCGTCGGTCCCATCGGAGGGCCCGTATCGGCGAGCCGCCGCATGAGCGACTTCGGCGTCCACAAACGGCCGGATCGCGCGTATCAGAGCGAGCCGGGGCGAACTGGAGCGATTGAGTTAAACTGGCGCAATGGATAAATTGCGGCACTTCGGCGCATCGTCTTCTTTTTTCATGTCCTTCACGTCTTCGCTCTTCGACGATCGTCGATAGGCCGAGACCGGCGCGGCGCGGCGTGACGATCGTTACGTTCAATCAGCCTGCGGTTTGCGCGTCGGCATTATTTCAAAAGCCGCGTTCCGCCACGTGGACAGACGAAACTTCACGAGAGACAATCTCGCTGCGAGTGTCCCGCCTCGCCCTTTAACTTGGCGCACCGCGAACTTCACGATGACGACGCTGGTAGTTTAAGTACAGTTACGTTCCCGATTACTTCTAATTATTTCGCTCGAAACAAGACGGATCGTCATTAAGAGCGGCTCTTTCGAGCACCGTCGTCGGCCTGATTACGTTTTCGCCAGGGGACGACTCAATCAAGGCGGGGTCCTCGCAATTTTCGATCGATATCGGCGTTTCAGAGAGAAAGAGAAAGAGAGAAAGACACGACGTATAATGACGCGTCGTTGTAACGCGCGTGCCTTAATTGCCTTGCGATTAATAATGAGCACTGCGTGCTCGTCGCTCATGTGCAGTAATCTCTCCGTGTCTAAAGAGCTCTTCTTCTTTTCTCGCGAGATCTTCATGCATGCAGAATCAGCGGTTATCTCGTCAAGCTTATTTACACAAGGCGGCCTTGAAAAACCGTTAAAACGCTAGCCAACGACAAATTACGTAACGACGTACAGTGGGGCGATTTGTACTTGAAGTTGGCGGAAATTAATTTTACGCTTTTTGTCCGCGACCTTACCGAAATTAATTTATAAATAACTTATAAATGTTTTAATAAAACCATATTAATGGAAAAATAAAATATAGCAATAATAAAAGAGAAACTCGTCTCTTATTTATCTAAACATTTAATTAAAATACTTGAATATATCGTTTCGTTTTCTCTTAATTACACGTGTAACTTCAAGCGATTCTAATTTCTCACTTTCCGCCAAGTTTTGACAGATCCGACCGCGCTGTGCTCCGTCGGGGGACGGTTACACTGTCAGTAAGTCTGGCCTGATATTTCAAGATGATTTTCCGATAACCAGGTTCCATCGGCTCTTTGCTGCTCATTCGTTTCCACTTTGTTACTTATCGCAATGTGGAAAAACCGGCGAAAAACCGCTGCATCGATAACTTGTAATATATCCCAATACGATAAGAAGCCATCTTTCGTGCAGCCTTGTTACGTTAACGCCATGTCTCTAGCCTTGAGAGGCATTTCAAATATTAGCAAGTCACAACGCGGCTCTTCTCGGTCCACCTGATGGATCTACCACGGTGGCGCTCGGTCGGCCGCGGTACGTAGCGCCGTGATCTCAACAAATTAACCGCGGCGATACGCAGTGCGCACCGCGATAAGTTGTCGGGACAAGTTTCGCGTGTATTTCGAGAGAGAGAGAAAGAGAGAGAGAGAGAGACTTACAACGTAGCGCTGCCGCAGCGTCGGACACAAATAGCGCCGTTACGGCGCTGAGATACGTATGTGCGTCGCGTTATTAAGGTCATCAGCTGCTTCTGCTTGCTTGGTCAAGTACAGATGATTGACGTAATGCGACGATCATTGTGCGTGAGAGAGCTCGCGGGACCGGATTGGGTCGTCTAACGAAGCGCTTTTTACGAAGCGTGCTTCGTCGGACCTCGCTCGTCTGGTCATTCGAAACTGCCTACACGTCGCGAAAACGTAGAGTCCGTTGCAAATTTCACGGACATTCGACGGTTTATGTCTTCTCTTCTCTTATTTTTTTTTTCTTTTTTACGATAAATCCTTCGCTTAATCCTTCGCTCTCCAAGAGCGCCGTAGCGGCGCCATCCGGCATGTCTTATTGAGCTCGAGGAAAACACTGTGCTCACCGGGTTTTGTCTGAGTCGAAATCGAAGGCAGCTGCCGCGGGTTTTGAAATTGATTCGAAATTCGAGAAGCACCTTCCCGGTACGTTCCGAGTTTCAGAAGAAATTTCGGATGGCGCCGCCGCGGCTTCTCTGGTGTCGAAGTAGAAATCCGTGGTCGTTGATAAGCACTCTCATTATCTGCCACATTCGTATGTGCCGTACGACGTAGCTTAATATCCGTGACTAAAGGGATATCCGGCCTGAAAGAGCCCGTGTTACAACGTCATGGACGTTTGCAAGATCATTCGTGCATTACTGAAATGGGATGAAATTACGACTTGTCTACGTAACGCGCACTCACGAGAGGAGACCTAAGGCCTTTGAGTGAATTGAGTATTAATGGTGTATGCGATAATCGAATGCCTGCTAATGCGTAACGTCGAGTGGCGGGGAAAATTATGCGGCAGAGGAAAATTTTTACATCTCCGATGTGTGTGTCTGTGATCGAGGCGTGCGCACGTGAGTATGCATCTCGCGGGAAGAACGCGAACTTCTAAATGCGGCAATGATTCGTGCGGCACCGATTACGCAACGTGTTTCCCCGAAGTTACCAAATCCGTCTGCGGTCTGTACTCTTGCCGTAAATTTATCCCTGAATGACCAGTTTAACCGTAACAACGATGTGTCATTTTTCCCATTCGGTAGATGAAGGAAAATTATGGTGAAATTAATAAACTCGTCCTATTTATATTTCTTTCATTTCACGGTATCAAAATAATGGTATATACACGGTGACAGATAAATTCTGGAAACAATTTAAATATCCTTGGAATAAACGAACATAACTCAAATCCATTTTTGGCATATTGCTTGTCTCACGATAAGGAACATCTGGGACCACCATTTTTAAATGACATCGTCTCTTACTTCTATTACTAGGTCCAGACACGTTCCAAAGTTTTAGCACGCGGCATGCGTCATATCCCGTGGCACCTCGTCTCGAATTTTTCAGATAACGACTTTCGTTTACACTAAATTGTGGTATTTACGCAAGTTGAGCTTCGACAGCGTGCGTTATCCCCTCGCAAAATAATCCAACACATTTGTCACCGCGATAAAGCTAAAAACAGGTATCGAGGCGTCGTCTTTAATAACCATGCAATCTTGTTTTCTATTCACAGGCATGCGCACCCAGGTATACCTGGTTCTCCATGCAACAGCCGAAGTACGACCCCGATAAGATGCCCAAGGAATCCGTGGCGGGCAGCAGAATAGAACCAGTGGGTACTTGCTGGGTTGCCCTCAACAATTTCAACGAGTCGCGCGAGTTCTCCCCTTGTCGCTCAAGTAAGTTTCTTCCCCCTACGAAATCTCCCGCTACGTCTCAAAAGTCGAGGCGCTTTCTCTCGAGCGCGAATTTTACCTAGTAAGTTCCATACTTGTCTCTCAGTCTTTCCAGTCAGGCCAGATATAAGCGGCCTACGCTTCCAACAATTGCTGTGAACAATTCACTCGAGCGCCAAAACGGCTTATTTGCGGACGTGGGTTTATCGACAAAAATTACTTGTTATAGTGTCCTTTATAAAAAACAACTACTTTTTAATTTCCACAATTAAAAACTAGGTGTGGTAATTAAATTTCAGTTGTATGTATGGACAGCTAATTCCTTTTTTCCGCGCGTGAGAGCTAGTTTTTAGCTGTGGGAATTTCTTTTTTTCCCGTGCACCCGAAGTTTGTCTTGTCTAATTTCGGGACACCCTGTGTATATCCCATCATCCACTCTCTCGCATCCCGACGAGAACGTCGCTCCTCGTACTTCAGCCTTCAGTATCTACAGTCCGGAGACGATGCGCGACTTCCACCCACCCTCTGCCGTGGTCTCCCACTCTTCATCTGCTCCTCCGTNCCCGCCCGCGTCCACTTGAATTGTTAACAAAACGACCGTTCGCTGGGACTTCCGTTCCTAACGGAAACGACTTCGCTGCAAAGCAAACGGAGCGATCCACCGGCGAATGTTTAATCTCCACTCTCACCGTTCTCCACCTCCTCTTCATCGTCGTCCTCGTCGTCGTCGGTATCGAACTCTCGAGAACGGGCGGTACGATTTATAGTGCGCGCGTCGTGTCGTCGCGCCGAATATAGCACGGTTTACAAGAAAGAACGAACGAGAGGATATCTTGAGGATTTTTGTGCGCGTCTGCTTTCGCCGGGCGCTATAAACAGTTGTAAACAGGCAGCGCGCCGAGGGCCCCGAAGACACGGCAGGGTGGCGTGCTTCGCCGTGCCTGAAGGTAAATCCTTCTCGTCCTCTTGCACGAAGGATCCTACGCGACGACGAAGCTCCTCCGCGACAAGGGCCAAGTATTCCCGGTCCGACATATGGCCGTGTCTTCGAAGTGTAGCGACCATAAATACGCCACGTAACAGGATACTTCCTGCCGACCACGTAGGTCTGCCTCGTGCTCTAATGACAAAGGACATATCGACTTTCGGCACCGCCTCGCCCTCCCCGCGGCGATTTATGGACATATCGGATCTAATTAGCGATGATCTCAGTACTTACATCAGCGAGTAGTGTGGCGTGTCTACCACCTCGGGCACGAAACCACACCTCAACGACCTTAAGTTAGACATTGAGAGAGTAATCTCGATGCAGTGTAGCGGGAGCGAAGAGTCGATCAGGCGGTGGAAACGTGGGTAATTCATCGGCGGAAATCGTTTGAATTTAACAAATGAATGTTACGTACAGCCAGTTGGGAATTATTGCTCTCCCGAATACTTGAAATTACACGCCAACAGTCGCGGATTGGGCCTCGGTTCTTTCTTCTTATTTTGGTGATATTTAAGAGCGTGATAAATATTTTCCAAACTGAAGAGCAAGCTTGACTTCTTTTCTAAACGATACTCTGATGCAGCAACTCGACAACATTTATCAGAAAATGCCACATTTATCTCGCGTTTGGTTATCGACACTCCGAGACGAACTGTAAAGGGCGTTCCGTAACCGGTACCAACTGGCGCAACCGGAAAGGGGGTGATGCTACGTAAAAAATAAAAAAAAGAAAGAAAGAAATAAGTTGAGAATAAGTATAGAATAAAATTTTGTCCTACACACAAAACTTCATTTTCGAAATAAATAACTTTAAATATTCGTTATGTACAAGTGTATTTAAATAACATAATCGTCTCACGTCTCCTCTAAAAAAAAGGCGATCTTTTCCTAAAATAGTTAAGCTCACCATCGACTCGTCATGTTCTGGGAATGTTGTTTTTAATCGAGTCATTTCCACGCTTGTATATTATCGCCTTTCTCTTAAGAAATTTCCAACACTGCGTTTGTTTATTTCGCAGACTATTTCGCAAAAAATTTCGCTTGTGAACAGTGCAACTTGCATCGGCGTAATTTAAGATTCTCCTTGGCGAGAACGTGAAAATAACATCATTCGTTTGTTTTTAGATTCGCACTTTCCTCCGCTTATTAAAGTCGCGCGTCCCCTCGTTTCGTGCGCGAGCAAGTGTTTCGGCAACCTCCGTGGCGCTTGCGTGCGCGTACTTTACGAACTGACGCACTTCCGGTCGTTTAACGGAGGACTCGAATATCCGTTTCTCGTGCAAGCCGAAAAGCGTGAATTCAGAGTAATTGACAAGGAAACACATGGCGCCCCTCATCGATTTCGATGCGCTTCGGTTGTGTTGACGAGCAACTGAAAATCAAGTCCGCGTTATCTTTTTGTATGCGCTTTCTCGAACATGTAGAAAATGAAACATCCCCTCGAATTCGACAAAATTAATTGTGGGCGAATATCTTCGAAATCATGAGATAAATGAGAGAAATATTTTCGAAAAAAGTTTTATAGCGCTTGATACTCTTATTTATAATTGTGTGTGCAGATTTTTCAAAAACCTTACTTTGCAATACACCCCCAATCCTCGCATGACATGCTTAACGAATTGCACTGCGAAAAATTTATAATGTGAAAATAGCTATAGAGACACTGCTATATGTATCCTGGTGAGTCAACTGGAGTTACCAACGCGAGTTCGCGTAAATGGAGCAAAAACAAAATTACGTATGACAAGACGCGAACAACTGAAAAAGTTTACCACTGCACCAATGATGTCAGCGCGCTACGTGTATAGTCTGGCCGCTTTCCAGATAAATATTATCAGAATTCACCGAAGTGGTCGGTCGCGAAATCTTCGCGGAACACGAAGTACGGAAGCGCGAACGTGCCGCCACGACGTGAGCTCATCGTCCAGAAATTCCGCGACGGCCGCGCAATTAAACAATTTGTAGAAGCCGAGTCAAACGTACAAACGACTCGCTGCTGCTTTTCCCGAGAATCGTAGAGACTTTTTAGTGTCGAGTCGTCGGCCGAAGCCGACGTTATTTTATCGTGCGACGTCAAGTTGCCATTTCGTCGCCTTTTCTAGCGCTATTAAATGCTCGTCGCTTTCTCTCTCTCTCTCTCTCTCTGCCTGCTCGCTCATACGTTGTTATCTACCGAATAAGCGGAGGTGAATGCAAACCCATCGGTGGCTCTTGCTAATCGTCTCTGGTGTATTTTAGCGTACGTGACGGTCATACAAGAGAAAGAGAGGGAGAGAAAAAGAAACAGAGAAGAAGCGACGAGTTGCACTAAGCACATTCCTCGATGAAAGGCGCCCACTCGTCCGAGAACGGCTAGAAGAGGCATCGAAAAGAAAAATAATAATTAGAAGGCGCCTCGGACCAAGTCACTAACTCGGCACCGTTCTAACGAGGCCAATTAGCACTTGATCCTACTTGGATAACGATCGAGCTACCGATCTGCACCGAGCGTGCCTTCTCTCTACTCTCGTTATTACCACCCCGATGGAACGTTTCTTTTTTCAAACGTGCGATCGCATCACGTCCTTTCTTTGTTTGATGTAATATTTGTTTGATGAAGAGGGGGAAAACGTAGTGCGATCGATGTTTTCAAAGCAAGATTTTATATTGGAGTCGTTGTGATAAATGTCTCGTATCGTGGAACGGTGAATTAATTAATTTTATGGCCAATCATTATTAAGACTCTTGAATTTTCACTCATGTGAGACATCTTAACAGACTAATGAGAGCGTTTCTAGATTAAAAATAACATAAAACTTGAGAGATGAGACAAATTATTAATAAAATTGAATAAATTATTCGCAACGGTCAACCTGCATCGGCTATCATCAGTCTGTTAAAATGATCCACTTGATTAATTTATGCTTCAAGACACAAACAATGACACGATTAATTGAATTGTCAAAATTCGACGATCTTTGTTATAAATTGGCATACCAGCGAGCATTACTGATAACGGAGTTATATCGCTACGTTACGATCACAGTTACCCTATTTCTAGATAAAAGAAGTGACCCGATAATGTATATTAAGGGTACGTAATCGCGCACCGACGCACTCACACACGCGACTGGGATGAGAATTACAGTAGCTCCATTCATTCCTCGTAACTCGATTAAGGGTCAGCCATACAACGCAATCGCTAACTCGTCTCCTGTAATGCTCCGATTTCTTTATTAGACGTTTCACCGTCAATGACCAAAATCGCTCTCCGTTTATTACGTCGTATTTTCTCATTCGCTAAGACGTTCCCAAAATATCGTATCAATACTTCAAAGCGCATTTTGGAAATTAATTAGAGTCGAAAATGTCAAGGTCACGATATTAAGTCAACCGACGTTTCCTATTATCAATTTTTGCGGCTCAGTCGATATCGATTTTTATAATTCAGCCGATCTTTGCCTCTCGCACTTTATTATCGCACATTCTTATGATAATAAAATGGACTTATCAGACTGTGAATTCGAAACAGTTACAGAGGAACTCGCTATCTCGAGTTAGCCTACGATGCATTCGATGCTCGTCGAAATTGGAAAGGAAGAGTCGTGAGCGTTTCCTCGTTAGATAGGAGAAGGTTCTCCTCCACTTGTCGTCGATGCCGACTCGTGTTCGAGAACGGAATGGCCTCTTACCGACGAGAATAGCACCCTCGCAAAGCGCGAAGAGGAGACGGATTATAAATAGATCCGACCACCGACGATATCGCGGTCGGACGCATCCGTTGTTACTCCACGAATGGATAACAGTTATCACGATGCCGCTGATCATCATTCCAATCGTCCGGTCGGATCGATCATTCTCATTGGCATCGTCATGCCGAAAATTGAAGCGATTAAGAGAGACCAGATCAAGTGGGCCCAAAGGTCATCAATTTTTCAGCGCAAATACCTCTCCTACGTTGCGAAAGAACACTTTACGATTTCCTCCTCACTGTTTCTCTCACAATAAATCTATAAGCGAAACACATGGCCAAAACATGACACTTGACCCGACGTGACCCATCTCTCGAACTACCCGTTGTATTTGCACGCCGAATGATCCTGAGAAGCGACACACACACGCGCGCGCGCGGTAACCAATATTGGACGAGTGGCGCCGGCCGCTCGCTTTATATCTGCTTTTTCGTGGCGCGATGCGACCGGATCGACGGCGAGGACGACGAAGACAACGACCGGATTGATGTAATTGCATGACTGACAGCTCGTCCAAAGTGACCGATCGACTGTCAAGAGGGGCCCTCTGTCGCGCTCATAACGTATGTACGTGCGCGTACGTAGGAGAAGACCGGATCCTGTGGGACGAGCCCACCCAACACCGGATATTCTCTCTCACACACACGAGCACTCTGGTGTGTAACATTTTCTTACGAGCGCGATCCGCCGCTGCAGCCATCGGAATGGCACTGACCCTGCCACGTCGGTCTGCTTCTGTCGGCCCGATAATTTGCTACTTGCGGTTACCATCGACGCGACTAATTACGAGACCGTCGGCGTTGGCGGCGTGCGATCCACGCAGCCCCTCCGCGACTTTTTACGTCGCATTCGCCCACCGGGAGCGTACCTTCGCCGTCACGAAACGGCGTAAAAAAAGATCGATAAGATTTATCGATCGATTAAAAGTACACTCGGCGCCCGGACCGAAGGAATTTCGATGAAAGCTGCGCCGATCTCGTGGACCGCGACCGCCGCCTTCGTTAGTGTCCATCGTATCTGAAAGCGATGTCGCGTTATCTAGTTAACGAACCGAGATATTCTGCGGTTATTTCCTGGGTTATTCACGACCCGTCGTGGAACGCGCTCTCCTCGCGCGGCCCCACTGAGGAAAGCGAATCGCGAAGGCGTCACGGCGGAAGATCGATCCGGAATTAATGACGCGTGCATGCACGCGCTACTTCTGCCCGCGCGTGCAGCCGTATCTTTTGGTACTTAAGGCTCAGACACAACGAAGAGAGTAAGGAGCAAGGAATTAAATACAGGGGATTCGGGACAGGGAATTAAATTTTGACACATGGCCGGCCTATTCACTCCACAATAAATAAAAGGAAAACAGTGATAACAAGGAGGAAATACATGAGGTGCTAACTCGAAGGAAAAATCGAGTAAAATGATAAAAGTGTTAATTTGATGACAGTAGAGATTCATTGGAAAATAGTACAAGTGGTGATCTCGTTTGAAAACGTTCTTATGTACCTTATTTTCTGTTCCTTTTATTGTGTTTCAAATAACATAACTTGCGGAAGGGTTGCGTTATAACGACTAGTACTGGTTCCGTGTAGCACATAGCAATCGTCTCGCTTCCGAACGACTCGCAGTCTAAGGATTAAAGCGACCCCAGCTTCGTTTTCTAGCCGATAACGCGTGAACACTCTGGGAAGGTATTTTTTTACTTTGTACACTTCACGGAATTATCGTTTTTACCGCTGCCTCAACTTCTGATTCTTAATCGACGACTAGAAAAAATGTTACGGATTATCGTCCGTAAGTTGCAATGAAAATGACAGATAATTACCACGATACGGTGTCTCAGTTCGAAAGAATGAAGAATGACACAATATAATCAATGATTTGTCTCCGTTTCAGGGTTTTGGGGCTATCACAGGCAAGGTTACTGTCAAGCTGGCTTAGCAGGCGCGATATCTAAGGTAAGCCAAAAAAAAATATGAAATATTCTTCTCGTTCGCTCTGGAAGTTTTTCTTCATTCTTTATTTTTTTCATTCTTTTCATTCTCTTCGAAATATTATATATATAATATTTATCATACAATTATATTATCATTATAAACAAATACAAAATAAGTTTTATACGCACATGTGTATGTATAAAACTCATTTTGTATTTACTTATCGACTATTTATTTCTCATCACTTTCTGCACCGGTTTATTATCACGAGATGACGTTATATTCAACTGAAAACATACCCTGAGCCTCGACATTCTGAATCTACACATGAATCTACACACGAAGAAGACCCACGCCGCGCGTAATTTAGCGGTTTAAACGACAACCGAAAGCGCATCGTGCAAATGTAAATCCGACAAACCGCCCCGTCGGGCGCCTCGGCGCTTGCGACGTCTTCAAAGACTTAGAAGGCGACACGAGGGGGGTCGACGAGGGCCGAATATGGCCAGGAATGCGAATTCCTGCCTTACGCACCTCCGTCGCTCCGGGCATTCGTATTCGTGCCATGGCGCATCCGCGCGCACAGTGCAGAGCCGAACGTCGGGCCTCTCTCGATTGTCTTGTCCAAAGCTCGGTTCCTCGTCGGGCGACCGGCGGATCGCGGCGGTGCCCGACGACGTTGGCGCGATGACCGTACAGACCTCGCTCGCTCTTTTGCTTGCTTTTCGTCCGAGACGCATCTGCAGATACGCCTACGGACGTTTGTTGCACCTGTGCGATCCCCACGCGTCGATACCTGCTCCATCCGCGCGGCCGCCGTTGCGATAAGCATCGGCGACGATCGAGCCGTCGACAAATCGGCAGCAACTTTCACCGATCCGTGCCGCGGCGATCATTTCCGCTCAATTGAAAAATTTCGCGACGGCCGACCGTGTCGACGCGGCGCTACACACCCGTCAGTTGGCGGGTTTCGCGATTCCCGTCGGGTAACCTGACGACCACGACGACAGCTGATCTCCTTCACGGTGAGAAGTCCCGGCGCGGGAAGATCTCTCGTAGCAACTCGGTGCAACGAGTAACGTTATCGCGCAGCGGACGGCTTCGATTGCCCACCGAAGAAATAGTGGGACAATTTCGCGGATGCTCGGCTGGCTGGCTCGCCGGTTATCTCGCCACGGATGTATAATTCAGAATTGCGCGACTATATGGCGGATGTTTAATGCATGTCGCCAGTCGTACCCCGATTCCTAGCTCCGTTTCAGCATTCAATGTTAATACGACGCCCGCGCTCAATCCCGATCGCACACGCTCGCTTATATAGTGCATATTGCGAACGTGATCATTTCAGATGTACCCGATGACTGCTGAGAGAAATCGACGCTCGTTAACACATCGACTGCCGAGTACGAGCTGTCTCGTAGCTCCGGCGTGCGGAAAGAATTATTCTTTGCTTCATTCGCCAACTACGAGTTAACTAGCGTAGGTTTCTTGTGTTATTTTTTGGGAGGGGGGGGGGGAATTTTAGATAATAGATATAATTAATAGATTTGATTTATCGCGCTCATCGTTCAGCAGCAGCTCTCATACACAGTGAAAAACATTTTGTAGGTGTGTTAAAATCGGTACTTGTTAAAATTATTGTGTTAAATTCTTAACATACCCATGTGTTAATTTAACATATCGTGTTTATATTATTTCAATATTTTATGTTGCTATTTCAATATATTCTGAGCTAATATTCAACATATATAAGTGTTAAAATAAGGGTAATTAATTAGCATGTCAAAGTAACTCGCTGATTTTTAAGTGGCAGTGAAGTGTCTAATGTTACTGTAGTGACCAATGTGTTAATTGAATTTATTTAATGGCAATCGGTACGGCTCGGGTAAATTTGGCTCTTCGCCGCGAATAAAGTCGTATTATTACCCACCCTGCCGTTCTCTCTCTCTCTCTCTGGTCTCTTTTGGGAAAACAAACGCCATTGTACGACGACCGGGATGCCGGAGAAGCCTCGCGTGCGCTAAATCCCCTACAGCGTGATTTAGTGGGCCTCTCGACGCCATCGAGTATGCGATCGACCATCGATCTTCGCGTTAAACCGCCGCTGCTGGTACCAGGCTCTGTCTGTGTCTGGTACCGCGACTTATCCGCCGAACGATCTGTATAAGATCGATCGATAGCCGATCGGTATCAATCGATTCGACTTGGCTCTCAGTCCAACTCCCCGGGTACGCGCGACCCTCGATTCGACGCTTGAAATATAAGTGCCCCGAGATCCTTTCGTACAAACGTATTTTTATTCCAACCGAGCCTTTTCTCGTGAGAAGGGGGAGGGATCGTCTTGTGCGAGATTCGAGGTAAATCGATTGGCAAGATCTCTTTGATCTATGTTCGTACGAACAATCGAAGAAGATAATACAAGCACGATTAAGAAGAAAGGCGGCAGATACATCGAGCAGTGTGTCTTAGCGGCCGTTTTGCGACTATTGAAATTCCTCATCTCTTCAAGCTGCGTGTGTGTGTGTGCAACATGTATTTTCTCTATCTCTCTCTCTTTCTTTTTATCGAGATTAATTTAATTTCACCAATCTTATCGAAATTTATCTAATTTCAATTTGCGTTAATTTTCGATATAATATTTATGCTACTGTTTAACGTAATCACGTTGTGTTGAATTAACACAAAAGTTTGTATAGACTGTTTCGGACATGTGAAACATGTTAAATTTAACACAGCATTTTTTACCGTATAATATCGGGGAGGAATATGAGAAGTGACGGCTTTATCGCGACTTTATCTACAACCTCGTCGAAGCGCACGCTCATAAATCGAGGCACCCATTGCGGTTCGAAATTTTGTCGAACCAAACGCACCCGTTTATCTCGCTCTCGCACACATCGGCAGCTCCACGTCCATCACGCGTGCACGCATCGGCGTGCCTCGCTCGTAACAATTTCTTGCCTTGTCAGTGGCTCGCACGCCGCTTCCCCCTGCGACCCCCGGTTTCTTGCCCGGCAACGGTGCACGATCTCGCGAGCAGCGTTCGGGGAGAGTGCACTTAACCGCAGCACACTTATAAGCGCGTTTGTGCGCGTATACCCGCTGGCTGAAATTTCACCATGCCCCCTGGTACATATCGCAGGCGGCGCGCGGTTATATTTCAATCTCAGATGGGCCCCATGTATCCCCACCTCACAGGACCCCTCCCCCACTTCCGCCAACCCTTCGCCCGGCCGCCTGCACCAACCCTTCCCGATCGGCGCCAGAACACAACTCGTGCCGGTCGTGCCTCTCGTGTGGCGGGACCGAATCCGACTGCCATTGTCTCGGTTGCAAATTTTTCCCGTGTATAAGCATCGACCCCACCCCTCTGCCCCGCCGCTCCATGGGGGGTACATCGTGTAGACTTATTCTCGCTATCCGCCCGCGCACGGTTCACCGGGTCCTGCGCGTGTCGCCTGACCGCTCGACGACAAATGCTCGTATTTGCTCACACTACCGTCTGGCTAATCCGTTTAGCAGGCTCTGCCGGATGACCGGTGAAACGGAAAAATGGTTCAACATGCGCTTTAACGGATTGAGAGCCGTGTCACTTATATTTGCGTGACGCGTGAGCTTCCACGAGGGTCTCATCACCCGTTTGTGGCCGACGATTTTATTCATCCAATTGTGTAGAAATAATTTCACCAAGTGCTTGTGAAATGCCATCATTATGGCGGTTATTTTTGCTATTAGAAAGAAAAAAATATCTAAAAAATAAAAGAATAATTATTCGGTGGCTACTGATGACATATTTACTTATATTAATATACATGTTTTTACACTAAGAAAAATTTTGTGAAATGAGAAAATATACATTTTCTTCATGTGCAGCTTGTCATGAAAATAATTGTTCTATTTAAATAAAAGAATTTAAATTTAAGTAAATATGTTATCCGTATCTGAATAAATATTCTTTACTTTTGAGATATTTTTACTTTCAGTGTACTTGATAGATATTTAGCCCAAATTATTCCTAATGAAGCAATAATATTAATGCTATAATTAATATTATTAATTGGGCGTAACTTGATTATTAAAAAAAAGAGCGGTTGTATCGACAAAATCGTATCACCCCCGTTCAAAAGAATACTGCGTCCACTGAATAAATTACGCGTTAATGCAACAATACGTTGATATAGTTGCTGATCAATCGTCGGATCACCTGGCAACTCATTACGGCAACCGTATAACTCGTTCAACGGACTAAACGTTGTGCCTGAGAAAATTCTATCCGTTCAAGCAAAATTTGTTGACTCTACCACTTTTCTCAATACTCGGCGACAAGTTTCACGTAATTTGTCATACGCGATGGCATTCGACATATTAATCCACCGCATCTATCCTAATCACTTCCCACGCGTAACGTGCGGTAACGCATCGATCATAGTCTTCTCTCGAACCGCTGGCATGAGTCATGAGCCGAAAGACGGTCGAGTCAGAGCCGGCCCGACCTCTGATTCATCTCCGCGACGCGTCAAAAAATTCATTCTTCAGGTTCGGCCGGCGGAACGGTGGCTTTCCACTCGGTTCGGCAGCCGAGAGGGGCGCAGATGGATGGCGGCCGAGCGCAAAAGTTACGGCTGTCGCATTCGGTTGCACCCGCGCATCGTCGAGTGCATCGGGACACCGCTTGGCTGGGCGTGCACGTGACTCGCTCGCACGTTTGACATTGTTGGCCAACGAGGAGGGTCCATTGTTCCCGTGCGAATCGCGGATCGCCTGGTCGGCTTGCGTTGCGACTCTCGTCGCGAAATAATAATATTCGCGGCCGGCGACGAACGAGCGGCCGCGCCGAAAGACGCGCGTTCGACTTGGCGCCACCCTAAATCGTCTGCGCGTCTTATCGATGCGCTCGACGCTTGACAGCTCGAACGTTAACTTGTTTGGCAAAAAAAAAAAGGAAAGTATAGAGTTCCACTCGTTTCGTATACCTTGGCTTTTACGCGAAGAATTTGTCGACGTTGCTTCGGCATAGCGAC